ACCCCCCCCCCCCCCCCCAAAAACCCCAGTCCAAAACAATTTCCAAAAAGTAATAAATTTTCAAGGCAAGCATGCATGAAAGAAGCCATGCGCCTCCACCCAGGTGTCGGATTTCCTCTCGAGCGCTACGTGCCCAAAGGGGGACTCGTAGTCGGTGATGTCTTGCTCCCCGAAGGCACGATCGTAGGCATGAATGCATGGGTCATCCACCATGATAAGACGATCTATGGCGAGGATGCGGATATGTTTCGGCCGGAGCGGTGGATGGATGCGGAATCTGAAAAGCTGCGAATAATGGAGAAGTGCTTTTTATCCGTACGTCTTTACTTCATCGCCCAGCTTTTAGGAAGCAACTCACGTATTCGCAGTTTGGAGCCGGCACAAGGACTTGTATTGGTATGTACATTCTATATCATTCCTTTGTCTTTTTTCTTTCATACTTCCTCCCTCCTGGCAAAAAGACCTCAACTTATGGAATATAGGAAAAAACATCTCGATCATGGAGATGGGCATGCTGGTGCCGCAAGTCCTGAGGAATTTTGAAATTGAGTGGGCTGGACAAAAGAAGGAGTGGAGTATCAAGAGTTACTGGTTTGCGAAACAGTCAGGGTTGCATGTACGGCTTCGGCCACGGCAAAAGGGGCGCGCTTGAGGGGTAGTGATTGGCTGGGTTGATGAACAGCAGATCTATATCATTTTAAATTACTGGAAAAGGTACAATGAGAATTGTTTAAGTGGGCGAGAGCCCGGTGTCGATATACTGTATTGTCTAGCCTCTGATTATATCTCCCCGTTACTTGAATATGATATGTTTTACCTTCAAGTTTTGGGGTCTTGAAGCAAGCAGAGAAATCAAAGAGATCTGATCTGCGACAAGAGCCCTGCTTGAAGCAGTCTTTCGCCCCCGTACGACAATCATATCATCAGAATCATACAAGACCTTAGAGACACCACACCTATTCACAATGGATATTGTCAGCATGTCGAAAATGTATATTTGTCAAATAGAACGAATTAGTGATCGATTAAAAGGAGCGAATTAAGTTAAATTAAACTACTAAACTAAGATTAAAAAAGAGGCTCTATATACAGGTAACAGTAGTAAATTAGTATAACAGATCTATAGTAATAGAGCTCTATTACTATAGTAGAATAGGTAGTAAAGTAGCTCTTAGTAAAAACTCTATATTAAACTTTAAGTAAAATCTGACTCTTGATCTACTAGTAATATAGTATTACCTGATTAGGAAATCGAGTTATTACGTTTAACAGTCAGGTTTCTAACAATATTTCTTCTTGATATAATAAAACTGAGATCACATCTACTAGTTTATACAAGGGTCTAACGTTCAACCTATTGAAAATACCTAGAAACCTCCTGAACGTTCTCGAGAAACTCTTTCTCGTCCCTAGCAATAGAGTGTATATAGAAATCCGGTCGCAAGATGACGTACTTCGCCCTCTTCCCGATTCGCTTTCTGACTGTCGTCTCATCGTAGCCATTGACTGGGTTGATCCCCTGAGCTAATAGATCTTCGCGAGTACAAGGAAAGTACTTTTGTTGAGAGACCTTTTCTTCAGGCCGAGCAGCTTTCCCTTTGTCGAGCTGGAGCAAAGTGATACTCTCGTTGGTAAGGATACCTGCCGGCAACGCACTCTTCCCAATCATGTCCGCTATTCCCTCCGAATCAACCTCCTCGTCTTCTTTGACGATAACCACCAGCGCCAGGCGTGCCATGCTGCTAATAAACACCGCATCCGAGAGCTCTGGGTCACTTCCATCTCGCTGGATCCATATCTGGGGCAACTTCCATCCACCACCCCTCTCTCTCAACGCAAACGCCCCCTCGCAGTCCTGGTATCTAAACGTGTCCGCCATCGCGGACTGAGTAAATCTCCTTACCAAGAATGGCACGCACCATATTACGCGCATCACACTGCGGAAGAGAAAAGACATCACCACGCTTCGCTGGTTTGTGATATCACCGTTCACCTTTGTTGACTTGGTCGCGTGGTCGCAGACCTGCCGCCGCTCGTGAGCCCACCCCGTGAGGATTTTCTCGTGTACTGAGGGAGGGACGGGAAGTTGGGTTAGGAGCGCGAGGCGCCATGAGAGGGCCTGCGCGTCGCGGATTCCGGATGCAATGCCTTGCCCCCCAAAGGGAGGGAAAACGTGGGCGGCATCGCCAATGAGTAGCGTTCGTCGGCTGAACCAACGATTGACAACTTTGGTCGAGAAGCTTCATCTTGGTATCAGCTTTGATTATTTGCCTGCGTGGGTGGCTTGACTTACGTAAATGGCCTGCAGCGGGTGATCTTAATGCAGTCCCTTGGATAGGTAACGTTTGTGCCACTCAATGTGCGTCTATCGTTTTTCATTTCAGTAAAGTCAAAGACAGTCAATCTTCTGATTAATAACATACGATATACTGGATCCTGGAATCTCAAGCCAGGGTCCAAATTGCTCCCAAAGATGACCTTCAGGGTCGTCAAGGTTGTCTTCTGGCTCCACCGAATATTCATGTCTAGCCAAGGTTATCGGCGGGTCGTCTAATGAACAGTTCGTCCACTCACCTCCAAAACCGTACACTTTCAGGTCCAAATCTACCGCTGACAGAGGGCCTTTTGATGTCGTTGCAAAAACTAGTGAACGTGTTAGATTGTAACTCCAATTATCTGGTATTTAGCGATAAAAAAATCCAACATACTGGAATCCAGCTGGCCAGAACAGCCTGAAGACGTCTTCTGGGGAGTACCCAAGTTTCCAGAGTGGGAAGTCGGGGTGGGTCGATGGTGAGGGGATGCTAATGTCGAAGTTCGCCGCAATCCATGTTGACACATGATCATACCTGTAATTGTGAGCACCACAGGGGCGGATGGTCTGGTGAGAAGCAAGCTTACAACCCTACTTCCTGTCTTATACCTTCCGGTTCCAAGAACTTCTTTCTCACAATCCCGCGTTTCCCATCTGCACCCACAAGCCAAGCTGTTCGTATCTCTCTTTTCATCCCCTTCTCATCCAGATATTGGACCACAACACTGGCCTCCTCCTCAACGCGATCCACCACTTCACATCCAACTCGAATATCGCACGATGATAAAGCTTCAAGGGCCCCCCTCAATGTGCGTTCTAGACCAGTATCTTAATTCCAATGTTCGTCTTCGAAAGGAAGCAAAAGGCAGCATACCATAGTTTGGCTGAAATTGGTTCACGGCATTCGAGACACTCTGCTGTAGAAGATCTCGGGTGAGGTCAAAGCTCATGAACGGTGGATTCCGAAATGTCTTGTTGTGAAAGCAAAGCTTCCCGGTATCTGGCCGCCATATATGTTGTCAATAAACCGTCTCGACAGGATCTGAAATAGCTGTCTTACCGCTACCAATCTTACTGACTAGGTCCTTCCCGATGCCCAGTTGATATGAGATACGTACCGCTTCACCTGCTATTGCGATCCCTCTAGGATCCTCTGTTATCTGCAGCTCTTTTTCCAGGATGACCGTCTGATCGCCGTCTCAGCAATGAATCAATGATAATCACTCGTCCCTAGAGACCTTTACCTTGATATTCATCCGACCTAAGTTCACAGCCAGAGACAGACCAGTTGGGCCCGCGCCAACAATCAATATGATTGTCTCTTCCATGGTTGAGTCTCAAAATTGATGCTAACGTGAGATACCTAGGTAACGATCTTATGTGTCGACGATATGGCTGTGGTCCTGCCCCTTGTGCCGCAGGTTTGTGCCGTGTCATCTTCAAGACCGAAAGTCCCGTCCCTGCGTGGGAATGAAGTGGAGTGGAGTGGAGTGGAGTGGAGTGGAGCGGAGGAAGTGGAAGTGGAAGTGGAAAATCCAAGTTCCTCCGAAATGCTATGCGGCTCTGTATTATTTGTTCCGCGAGACTCCCGTCCCCTTGCGAGGGGTTCGGTTACCCTAGATCGGTTACCACAACCGATAGCCGATGCCGGTATTGTACCTGCGGAACAACAGATGCTCCGCCAGGGATGTCCGGCAGATCGCCCACCAAATATCGTCAGAGTCCGTAAATTCCAATTGGAAGAACTTTGAGGAGAATCCCCCGTAATCCACAATATTGATAATATTGCCCAGATCCTCCGAACAGCCTCGGGCTATCTCTTCCTTTACTGATGGCACAAGGACACCCCGGGATATCCGCCTACGTTTATCTTACTTTGCATCTGCTTTTATTTTACTTCTCTTAGAGACTTAAGATTCATATCCATTATTCTCTGTCGAACAATGCCGTCCTTTGTTTTACCACCCGTCACCAATAACGCCAGCAAGGTCCAGCTTGCACGTATCAGCCATGTCTACCAATCGCATCCGGATCTTAAGAAGTGGGAAGAATTTGCCGAGGCATTTGGCTTTATACTTGAAGCCAGAAACGATCAGGAAGCTTTCTATAGGGGCTATGGCATGTCGCCGTACGTTTGTGTCGCGTCACAGAGCAAAGGCCCAGAGAAAGAGTTCGGTGGTGCAGCATTTGTTGCACAGACTGAAGAGGACTTCCAGAAAGCTACAAGGCTCGAGAATGCGGAATGTAAGGATTTGAGTAAAGCTCCTGGTGGGGGCAAGATGGTGACAATCCCAACTCCATCGGGGAGCTGTATCCATGTTGTTTTTGGTCAGCAGGAACGGCCTTTGCCGGAAAAGCCAGTATCGGCCACAGAAATCCACAAGGGAGAGTATAATACGAGTATAGAAAAGCTGAGAAAAGGTATAACAAATAAAACTCTGTGTGCTCAGCGAGATACTGATGTGCTATGGTACAGGCGAATTCCAACGATTCAAGCCTGGCCCCGCCATGGTCCACAAGCTGGGTCACTACGGTTTTATCACCAAGAAGTGGGACGAAGATGTTGCTTTCTACACGGGAAATTTTAATTTCATGCCTTCTGATATTCTGTATGCTCCTGGAAATCCGGATATGGACGTCTTAACGTTTCTGCATCTTGATCTTGGAAAAACTTTCTCCGACCATCACTCTCTCTTCCTTGCGCGCGCCCCTCCCGACCTCCCTGCAACAATAGTACATCACACGTCATACGAAGTTGATGATTTTGATACCCAGCTTCTAGGGCATGAGTTCTTACTTAGCAAAGGATATAAGCTGGTATGGGGAGTTGGACGACATGTCTTAGGATCACAGATCTTCGACTATTGGAAGGATCCCAGTGGTTTTACAATTGAGCATTATGCTGATGGCGATGTGGTGAATGAAGATACGAAGGTCTTGAGACAGGAGGATCAGGGCCCCAACACTTTATCCGTGTGGGGACCAAAGTTGCCAGAAGTGTTCTAGTAAATACCATATGAACGCAATTTTTCAGCCTTTCCCAAAGCACTATATTCTATATGGTGGAAGAGTGAACTTGACAGTGCTTTGTTATGTAGGATTTTTAGTCCATCTTTCTCCTAAACCCGCCTTTGAATGATTAAATTTCGTATTCGTAAGCCATACGGTCATATTACTTCTTTCATGTCTCCGTAGGTTCAACTATGCGCAACATGGAGCGGAGGAACTGTCTGTTCCGGGAAATCATGCATGCTAGAAACGGTCCAGTAGGAGTAACCCAATACTACCCGGCTATATCAATTTGTGTGGGGCAGAGATTTCCATCACTGCTATATATTTGTGCCTTCGCTTCATGATCCTGAGACAGTACATTGATTTAAAAACAAGGCCAAAATCAGATTACCTCGCAGAATGCCTTCTTGGGACAGTTTGATTCGCTTTGAGGCAGCTGAAGATGGGGTGACTTACTGGGCTGCTCTGGCACTTGATACAGTTCCAGTAGCAGGTCTCAAAGTCCCGGGGTTCGCAAGTATTGAAGCTTTAGAGCGCCATGGAAGCTCTCGGGCAGTTACTGTAAAGAAGGTAGAGAGGGTCATGATTTGAGAGTTATCAGTGCTATTGTTCTTCTGGCTGACCTAGTGCACCCCACCAGTTACTCGCCCCAACTCCAAATCAATCAATCCCAATTTACTGCATCGGTCTGAACTATCGGAATCATGCTGAGGAGGCCAAGGTTTGCATTCCTTGAAACATCCCCAACAGATACCTAGTCAGAGGCACTGACCAAGACTCAATTCTGCAGTTGATACCTCCAACGTATCCACCTATGTGGTATAAGCCCGCAGCAGCCCTGGCAAATCATGAAGACGATATTCTGTTTCCAACAGTCGCCCACAGCAACTTTCCAGACTTTGAAGTACTCCATCGACGTCCCTCACCGGCTTGAACCAACGACTAACATGAGTAGGGCGAGCTCGCGGTCATCCTTCGCGGTCCCATAAAGTCCATTTCCACAGCCGACGTATCCTCTTCTATACTAGGCTACACAATAGGGAATGACTTGACAGCTCGCATGTTCCAGGATCCGAAACGCTGTGGTGGTCAGTACACTTACGCCAAAGCTTTCGACGCCTTTGCTCCTCTCGGACCACGTCTTGTTCATCCGTCAAAGTTTGTTCCATCTGCGCCGACCACTCTAGTGACGCGTGTGAACGGGGAGGTAGTGCAGCAAAGCCCGCTGGATTTCATTTACCCTGTTGAAGATGTTGCGAGTTTTATATCGCAAGGTCAGTCACCCAAGATCCCGATGCTAGTATACGACTGTCAATGCTGACGGCCAGTATAGGCACAACAATTCCCCATGGGACGGTAATTATGACCGGAACACCGGCTGGCGTTGGCTGGTTCCAAGAGCCAAAGTCGCCCCTGAAGGATGGTGATGTAGTAGAGGTAGAGATACAACCGATCGGGATCTTGTCAAACAAGATTGTTTTTGAGAAGTAACTCGTTTGAGTGTCGAGAATATGATCTAGAAGATATATTTTCTAAGAGAATAGATATCTGAGCGACATTTTCGACTTGTGATAAACTGCCGTCGCTCTGTACTGCGTAGTGTATATGCCGGTACTCCAATAGGTAGACCTATCAACCCCGCATTTTTAGACCGACCCACACAACATCCCCGCAAGAGACCAAGCTATATAAGCAATAAGAACTTCCCGTAAACTTTATACATCTTTACTCTCACTCATATCAACATTAAGCCTCAAATTTAACATCAGAGGACCCTTAACTGGACAAGTACTGGTCGCGACCATGGCATCCTTCCTCGACGGCTTCTCCTGGGATCCGTCCCCGGATTTCCCGGATTTCCCGGATCCCCTGGAAACCCCAGAAATCACAATTGCCACCACACCAACGAATCAGACTCCGACAGATCATTCGTGCACATCACACGGAATGGAGATATCAGAGACAAGGAGTCTAATAGCGCCAGTGAAGTTCCAAGTATGCACTAGTTGTAGACGGTGAGTTAGAGCCGAACAGACTTCCGGGAGAATGCTCAGTCGGAGACTGATGTTCTTCTGATTCAGCAAGAAGCGCAAATGTAAGTCGGCAGTAGCGTCGCTATTGATGTGTTTCATCCCTCACGAAATTTAGGTAGCCAGGAGAGACCATCATGTTTATTGTGTCGAGAAAACGGCTGGACCTGTGAGTATCGACACCTCAAGAAGAAACCTGGTCCAGCGAAAGGCTCTGCTAGACTAAGAGCACCGGTCTTGCAAGAACTCCCAAGTAGGCACGCAACTCATATTACCTTAGAGTCTTGCTATAGATTATATCTTTGGTCTGGCTGCTAACGCATAAGCGTGTAGAGAATGGACTGGCTATTGCCCTCACCGCGGGCGCAAAACGAGAGTTGTTCGTATACCACTCACTAATTATTCGTAGCTCTTTTTACGAGTGGCCTGCTAATTGTTTACCAGAACCAACTTATTCTTCACCTATGTCCAGCCAGCCTATCCAATGTTCTGTAGACACACGTTTGATCAGGACCTTGAGGACGGAAAAGTCCCTGACAGACTTTTGAACGCAATGTTTGCAGTTTCGTCAAGATTCAGTCCCCCTTCGGAAATCTCTATACTTCTCGGATCGTCAAGTACTACTCTCTGGGATAGCTTCGCACGGCTTGCAGAGCACCAGAAAAGCTATCATGAGAACCAAAATGAGCCCATATCTTTGAACGACGTTAAGACCGAAGCTCTCTTGACGCTCTACGAATACACCAACTTCCCCGGTCGAAAAGCCTGGATGATGGTGGGAAATTTGGTGCGGGCAGCCTTGGCGATGGGACTCCACTTGATCGATTCTGGGCGAGAGCGAGATCCCTCTTTCTCAGACCTTCAACTTGAAGAATGCCGCTTTGTTTGGTGGACGGTGTGGAAGCTAGATTCGGCAATAAACACTCTCGCAGGAAGCCCTTTTGGGATCGACAGCCATTGCATTGGTACCGCCTTAGTTTCAACATCTATTGCTGATTTTACAGCAGGTATTGTCATAGAATCGTCAAAACAGTACCTCTCAATGGACTCTGAAAGACCATGGAAGTCAGCGCAGCAGCTGGTGATGAGCGCCAATGATGATGGTCTGGGCATGTATCTTCTTGCGGTCTCCCATCTCCGCGATGGATCAAGGCTTCGGCAACGTTTATATATCAACCCAACACCTCAATTAGTTAACCAGTTGACGATTCTAAGAAACGCACTCTCTTGTATGCGGCTATCACTGCCCGTCTGGTACTTTGAGCCTGAAAGGCAGTCATCGTTCGAGACGCCTTACAAACATCGGACTCGGCTTGAGACCCTTCTCATATTCTACGCGTGAGCACTCAGCAACCGGCACTTGTCTAATATGCTAACCTTATGATAGTTTTCAAATTGAACTATTTTTACCTCTCCCAAATGCTGTCTCGAGCTCTACGGAAGATGGACTCGCGAATTGGAAGAAATGCATAAGCACTAGTGAAGATATAGCCGCTATCTTTCATCACTGGAAGCCGGTCTACTTTGCAGAAGCAGATCCATTTATAAGTACAATTATCTGGTTCACGATCTCAATCCTGATGATTCATACAATGTCTATCTATGGCCACTATGACGAAGCTCCAGATGTAAGATTCATCAACGCACTACAGTTGCTGAGCCTGGCATTAGAAAATTTTGCCAAACACTGGCATATTTCTCGTCTCCTCTTAGGTAAATACTATGCTCACTTTAGGGTTTTCGACCAAGGCTTACATACCAACAGATTCAGTAAAGAATTTAAAGATATGGGCTTGGCTAAGGTTAGATTTCTCAGACATCCAATGTATACTGATGCAGCTGCGCGTTCCAATGGACCCTCTTAAGCAGGAACCTGGGTCTTTCGATATGTGCCAGATAGTTGGACGCGTAAACTCCGGGGTAGAGGGGATTGATAGATGTACGATTGACCTCGGCATGATCTAAATCTTAGGGTTAGGGTTAGGGTTAGGGTTAGGGTTAGGGTTAGGGTTAGGGTTAGGGTTAGGGG